CCCCAGAGGTGTTACCTTTTACGTCAGACGTCAGAACGTCACTCAGTTTTGTTTAGGCTAAGAGAAAGAACACATGATAACACTCCAACTCTTTGTCAGCTTCAACCTTACAGACTGAAATGATCAGAAAGTATAAAATACAAAACTGAATCTAATATTCAATTAATCAGTTACAAAATTTCTTCAGAAGTACCAGCTAAAAACTTGACATAAAGATCAAGGTTATTTGGGCATCCCTCAGGTCCTGTGWCAGATCTTTGCTGGGTTAAATACTGAAAAGGAAAAAAGCATGACTTTCTGAAACTGTTTTCTGTATTTTATTTTCATTTTTAGTTTTACTTCTACATTCAACAACCACTTTTTCACTTTACTGATTTTTAAAGTAGACACTACTCAGTATGGTATCATGGTTATACAAGGACCAGACAAAAAAATAAATGAGTGAAAAGCTGTCAAGGTCCACAGAAACACGTTTAAAGACTTTCAGGAGGTCTGTTAATCAAAAAACATTTGAAATGATATAATAAAAAGGTCTGGCTCCTTGAAAACAAAATGTAAATATAAAAACAATCAGGGGTAATTTCAAGCTTTTGCATGGTGTTGGGCAAAGATGGGTTTTTTTCCCACCTGTACTTGTGTAACTAAAATCAAAATACCACTGCTACACTGGGAACACTGTCATTAGCTCTGAATGGAATTTGTTCTAAATCACAGTGATTAGGTGAAATTTAACCATTGCCACTTGATGAAAAGCATAGGTCACTCTGATACCCTGAGCTCTTTGAGCTTTATTTCACCCAATTGATTGCTTGTCTGGAATAAAAAAAACACTTTTGGCAAAGAATGTAGGGTGGGATTTGGGCACTAAACAGATATAAATAATGTTTAATACTATATACTGTATGTAATAATATTTTTTGACCAATGTGTTAAAGAAAACCAGAACGAGTGAAATGTCCAGTTCACCTAATCTAAAAAAGACCACATCTAAGTTAGAGCTTAAAACAGAAGATCCCTCAATGAAGTACAATTAATGTCTGTTAAAGTTTTATTTACCCACTAAGTGGTGTGTTTTAAACAGCATGTCATCTTCAGAACAATCAAAACAGAGAGTTAAACATAAAACGRGTAGTGTGGCTAAATTAGATCTGCAGTGAGTTCTAGTTTTAAAAAGTCAAGTGTGCAGGGATACATCCCCCCCCTCCCCTCCCCCCCTTTCTGCTGCTTCACCTTTTTATGCCATTTTGATTCAAGTTCCTGATTAGCTTCTGGTTTTAAAGGCCAATGAAATCAGCAAATAGAAGTTATTAAGTCACACATGACCTACCTTTGGATCAGAACCATTAGAGCATCCCTTTAAGGACTGAGATAATATTTATCTGGTACAGTGATGGGCACTGTTCAAGGTGAATATTATCTCAGTTCTTATTACACTCTAACATGATAGATGTGCCCTGCTCGTAAAGTACAAGGTCCCGATGGTAGCAGTTAATCATCTTTCTGTTGGATTCTGTTATATTTAATCAAAGGAAGTCATATTTAAGGGATAGTTCAAATCTTTTTAAGTGGGGTTCTTTAGAAAGTTTAAGAATAATACATGTCTTACCTGTTGTAGGTAGTTTTGTGCACAACCTCAATTTGGGAAAAAATAGTTTATAATTGACCAGATTCTAACCAGATTGAGCAGACCTGAAAATAAATTGAACCTCTATGGGACTAGTCATTAACTCATCAACCTGTCAGAATTTAAATCTCTCTTCTATGACAAAGGTGGCTTTTTGTG